GCTAATGCTGATGCCATTATATGAAATTTGGCCCTTTGGCCCTTTTTCTTATATCATTGAAAATAATTAATCAACATGTTTGCTTACACATGGCAACTTGCCAGAGCAGGCAGAGAAATTAAAAGGCAAAAGGTCATTCCACAATAGTTTACATACTGTAGAATATCCATTTATTTTATTTGTCTTTGTGGCCCAGCTGATTTTATTTTATTTGTCTTTGTGGCCCAGCTGATTTTATGATTGCAGTTTACAAGGGCAGATTGGAGGCAAAAATTCAGGATCTGACAAGATGCAATTTTTCTCTCCAACTGTCTTTAAAATGCCTAACAGGTGTTTTAGTTTTTTAATAAAACAGAGCTGTTTTCAATGCTCAGCATGATTTTCGTGATGACACTTTGGGGATGGCCCTTTCCAGAGGGTCCCTCCTTGCCTTGAAGGAATCTGTCCCCCATTTTTCCCCCAGGCAGCCCCAATGACCATTCATCCACCCATTAATTCCCCCCAGAAGAGCTGTGGGACATAAGAAGGGATATTTTGCTGTTGGCTGGTGGTATGGACAGCCCTAAGTCTGCCAAACACTCCTGGAGGGCTTAATCCAAATCCCTTTTATGGTCCAGGAGAGATGGAACTTCACATGTTGAGCAAGATCTGAAGGCCCCAGCCATGAAAATCATGAATATTCCATAAGCAAAGTCTAGGAATTATATATTCTTTTTTAACAATGAGCTTGAGAGTCTGCTGGGAAGCCTCTTAAATTAGTCCTAAACTCTATCGACACTTCTAGAAAGAATCTTCTTTCCAGATTCCTATTGGTTTAAAGTGAACACAACCATCATCTCCTGACTCTTGGGTTTCCAAAGGAGCAGCTTCCCATGTGGAAAACCCCCAACTTCTCCTCTGCAGAAGTCTCAGGACTCACCACACTTCAGAATTCAGAGCTGACATCACAACAAGGCACCAAAGTGTAAACTTTAGGCCCCTGAAATTTATTTTCCATGGCAGTCGCAGGGACAAAGCTCCAGACATCTGAAAAGAAAAGCTGCCAGAGAAAACCCTCTTTTGCAGCTACCCCCTGCAAGCAGCAGCTCCATTCCCCACTTCCAGCAGAGGTTGTGTCAGCCACTGATTTTAACTCACACCAGGAAGAACACGTTGGGATGCTGCAACAAAAGCAGCTGATTGTACCTTAAAAAAAAAAAAAAAAACCACTTAAAAGGGAGAGAGAAAAGGGTTTGAATGCTCCGAGCCCAGAGTGGGTCTAAACTTAAAAGAGAGAAAAATCAGCTTATTGCAAAGTTGCCCACTTTAATCTCCCTGAATTGGTTTGAAATATGTCTTTACAGTGAAATACAGGGGTTTGTGTGCAGTAATTTCTGCGCTGGGGGGATCCTCCTTTCCTTGCCTTTTTTTGCTTTTTTGTCAGTTGAACTTGCTTTTAGCAATTTGCTCCCATCTCATGATCACTGGAGAAAGGGCACCCTCTGACCCTTGCTGAGAAACCACAATTCCCAGGAATTAAGTACAAAAGGTTTCTAAATTGGCTAAGCTCTTCTCATCCAGTAGCTTCAATTTCTTGAATTGAAAGCAAGGGCCAATACACAGCAAACGTCTTGAAACATCCAGGGTTCACTCAGGATCATGGAATGGTTTGGACTGGAAGGGATTTTAAATCCCATCCAGTTCCACCCCAGCTCTGGGCAGGGACACCTTCCACTGTCCCAAGCTGCTCCAAGCCCCTCCCCTTCCCTTTTTTCCCTTTCCTTTCCCTTGCTATTTCTGCAAAAATTTTTTTTTAAAAAGCAAAAAATTTCATCTACCACTGCACCCAAGATAACTTCCTCTGCAGAAAATCTTCACACAGACAGGCTGGTTTCATGTTTGTATCACGTTCAACACTATTGGTCGCATCCTCACAGGGATTTTTATTTAAGAAATAAAAGCACAGATTAACAATAAAAAACTCTCCAGCAGTGAGAAGTGGTTGAAAAGTTATTTGCCTGGAGCCTGTATCTTACTGATATTTTAAAATGCCATTCGAAGCTCTCAAAACATGTATGGAAAACACATGGAACTTTTTTCTCTTTTCTGGAAAAAGTGAACCCAAATAGAATAAAATATTTTGATCATTTGCTCAGTTATAATCTTATTCTTAAATAAATTTTTAGAACTGCCTGACACATAGAATTTTTAAAATTCAGGCCTTCCTTGGCAGTACATTAAATGTCTGATTTATCCCAGTGTTTTGGGAGCATTTTGGGAAGCAGGGCTGGGGAGTTTTCCATGCAGAGGCATTCCCTGCCTATGATTCCTCATCCTGAGCAACCTGAGGGTGGCCCAACAGGTGTTTCTCAGTTCCCTCCTACAAGAAAGGGCAGAAATTCCATTGTGCAGCAGCTCTTTCTTCCCCAGCCCATTTCCTAAAGCTTCTCACATGATCTCCATCCTTTCCTCTACTTTACATGCCCATTTTATGGCTGGGGAAGCTGAGGCAATGAATATTTGGTGACCTGATTGCCTTTAAATTGGCAGCAGGAAGAGTCAGGAACTCCTATTTTACAGTGCTCATTCCCAAATAAAGCCTTTTTCTGTTAAGCCCCATATCAATTCCAAACCTGCTTTAAAAACCCTTTATTTACTAGTCTTTAAACTGTGAAACCCCCACTTATTAAGCATCTAATACTTGGTTATTCTCAAAGCAAAGGAAGAGAAACCCAGGCCAGGAAAATTTTGGACTTGTTTTTGATATTTAAATGTCAGACTCTCAGATCTTTTCTCCATTTCACTTCTGCAAAACTCCTTTTGCTCAGGCTCTGGTGCTGCCTTTGGGAAGGTGCGAGTTGCTATGGCAATCCCCATCTCCAGGCAATGCACCACGGGCACTACACATTCCCTGGGGGATTCCTGGCCAGCAGGATGGGTTTGGGGGCTGTAAACACATCCAGGCATGAATTGCACTCAGTCTTAAAGGCAGGACAAGATGAAGGAGCAGCCCAAAAAATCAAGAATAGGAAACCAGAACAGGAGAAGAGCTGGAAGGAGAAGCAGAGCTGCGCTTGGGGTTTGAGACCTCTTGCAAAGCAAGACTTGGATTCCTGAGCTGGTTTGAAGTTCAGTTGCATCTCCAACAGTGGATTAGCTCAGCTCTTCATTAACCTCCTCTGTTTCCATGTGGGGCCCACAGTAAATAACTCCTCAGTGAGTTATGGAGCAGCTGATCCTTCCCAGCTCCTGTTCTGCAATCCTACCTCTGCTTTTCATCTCTCTTACAAGAAATCTTGGTTTAGGGGCTTTCCCCCTCAAAAAAGTGTTGCTTTTTCCAGCTTGGATTTTCCTCCCATCCTGAAGCTTTTCTGTTCCTCCCCTTGTCCTGATCTCCTTCCCACCCCTTGTCCCACTCTTCCCCTGATCCAGCACACCTCCTTCCCCCCTTACACAGGCCAGATGTATTTGAATTCTCTCAATAATTAAATAGTAATAATACAAAAAAAAAAAAATCTGACCACACTTGTTTCCTTTGCTAATGCCTCATTTCCATTTCTTTTGGAAATTCCTGCAGATTTGTTTGTTCCTGCTCTTCCAGATCAGCTGTGTGGAGAGGAACTGCTCCTGCTGTCCTTTTCTCTTCCCCGTACATCCTGTCCCTGGGGAAGCTCATTCAGAAGCACCAGCTCAGCTCTGCTGACAGCTTGCAGACCTGCCTCTCCCCCTAATGAAAATTACATCAGCTCTAATGATTAAATCTCTTTGGGGATGGAATTTTCAGAACTGGTTATTTGCTTGGAAACAGATTAACAGATATTTGCCTGCCCATCACAATCCCTGGGTATAAATTACTTGTTTGAAATCAATGACTGGTGAGTGCTTAACATACAGCATAACCCCACTGTGACGTGGTTCATGACTTAACCACCAGGACCTAGAAATACAGACTCTTTACAAAGAATATCTTGCTCATCTTTGGTGTATTCCAAGCGTACAGATTCCATAAAAGAAAAAAAAAGCGCATGAGGATTCCCTGCGTATTGTCCATGAATTTGAACAAATCTAATATGTTTCCAGTGCCATTTCTCTTCCTAAACAAGGCTGACATTTATTTGCTTAAATATCCAGGAAGAATTTAAACCTCACTTGGCTGTTCCACCAGCAGAACGAGGGCAAACACGTGTTTAATTGTGCAGCGACATTTGCATGCCTGGAATACCCAACCAGCTTCCATGATTTCAGATCAAACAGCACTGAGCCAAATTCTTTCTCTGTAATATTCCACCACCCTGGTGATGCAGCCAGTTCATACATCATCCTACCTATTTTCACTGCTGATCTAAAGAAGATTTTTGTTAACATTGTGTGAATAATCAACCCAGATGCGGAGGAGAATGACTGTGCTGCTAAAAGGGAGCAAAGCAGAGTCTCTCTCTAGAGCACTAACAAGTGTTGGGTCAGATCTGTGATCCTTCCAGGTGGAGTCTCTCTGTGGGATTCCCGCCTGCCTTCACACACATTTTCAGATGAAACAAGACTCCAGACATTTGAAATGGGATAAAAACCACACCCATGAGAAACAGTCCTTCTCAACATTATTTATAGTCCCTAGAATAAACAAGCCAGCACAGGGAGTGTGGTTTGATGTTGCACAGCAGCTAGAGGTGAGAGCACCACCTGAGCTGAGAAAACAATGGGAGAAGAAGCATTCAGCATTAATTCAGAAGAAATCAGCAGAGAGTTAATACAGTGCTCTCATTTCTCTGTGGAACCTGACAGTACAGTTGTGGTGAGGACACACACAGGGTGCATTTCTTACTGTTTGATAGACCTCCAAAAATCAGCAGGAGTTTTGTTGCAGAGCAACCCTTGCACAGCAATAAAATTTGCTTCAGCCTCCACTTTCCCCCTCCCTCACCAGCTGTTTCATCTCCAGAGCAGCACATCAATATCTGCATTTCAGTCCCTGGCTGCAGGGGTGCATTTATTGTCTCAACATCAATCAACTTCCTACTCACCAAAATTAAAGCAGCTCCTTCCTTTTGATTTCTATTTCCTCAGCCACTCTATCCCCTGCTTCTCCTGCTGGATCCTCCCGTGCATCCCTGGGCTCCAGGAGATGATTGCAGTTTTTCTGGGGGGAAGGAGCTGATTAATCACGGCCAGTTCTTCGTCCCCTCCTCTAAACACCAAGAGGAACTGCATCCACCAGAGCTGAAGAGCCTTTTCTTCAGGCAGGTCATCACCAGATCAATTGCTGCTTTCTTTGATCACCAATCACCCTCAGATTGCACAAATCACTGGTTTCACCCAACTTGCATCTGCTACAATGCAACAAAATACCTCCCTCTCTTTGGGTTTTTGTCTCTATTTCTATCTTGTTTCTCTATTTCTGTTTTATTTCTTGGGGCCCTGTTTTGTTTCTCACCATTTCACACAGCTCAGTATTGCACAGGAGGCTCAAACCAGGCCATGGATTTTACAAAGTTTCCTTTGCTTCCAGGGGACACTTATTAATTGGAAGGCTTTCAGCACCAGTTGCAGTTGTGCCAAAAAACTGGAAAATTATAAATACTGGGAGATTAAATCTACCTTTCACATCTAAGGGAGTCAGTCTTTTGATACTTCCTCAAGCCCTGTGCTTTAAATCATTAATTTAGAGTTCAAAAACCTACTGCTGAAATATCCCCCTAATAAAACATCCTAAAGCAAATGGGTGGAATTGAAATGGTGCTGTTAAACTTTATCGTGCCCCAGGTGCTTTGTGACTCACATGGATTCTGACCGAGTGTCACAAATTTACAGGACGTGTCACACATTTATTCTACTTTGTCACTCAGCTCCTGCCAGGTGCCACTTAGGCCCTCTGTGTGTCACACTTTTATTGCCACTTGTTTGGCTTTGTTTCATCAACCATTCAGGGGCATAATCTACTGCATATGGCAGAGCAACACAAATACAAATTAGAAAGGATTTTTTTTTCTTCTTCTTACCTGACAAATATTTGAGCTCCAGAAACCTCTCCACACTTTGAATCACTCCGTCTTAAAAATGTATTACCAAGGATAAGTTCAGGTGACTTTGAGCCTGCAAACAACAACCCCGTGAACTCTTGCAGGGAAGTAGAAAAGGAAACCTGGAAAAAGTACAGCTGTAATTTAATATATCAAATAGGCACGATTTTTGTATTTCTGTTCTAAAATGCAAGCCCCACATTTGATGAAATAATGTATAGTAAAAAACCTAATAAAAACCTACAAAAGCTAAATGAAACAATGTATATACATGATAAAAAGACCTGCAAAACCCCCTCACTAGTACAAGGCATAATTGGCACCCAGGACTCAATCACTTTCTTCATCAAGTGCTTGGCTCTGGAAAGGCAGTGACAGAATCCAGGCCACAAATCAGTTACATTGCTAATCCCTGACAAGTTTCACCTGCATGAGATGGTTCCATACATTTTTATTTATTTATTAAGTGCTTACACGTTTCCTGATTTCAAAATCAATTCTTCATTATTTCCCTGCCTGGGCAATACAAATGAAGAAATGTGTGACTGGTGAATAGTTCCCAAGATTAAAGAGGTGGAATGAAGGCCTGGATTAGCAGCCTTAATGAAGTTTTGGGCTCTGGAAATAAATTAAAGCAGCTTTCTGAAATATTCGCTGTGTACAGCAACCTGCAGATTTGATGTGGAGGTAGACAAAGAACCTCTGCCAAGGTGAGGGATAAGTCCAGCCAGCTCGGGGTTCCCAACAGAGGTGAGGTGAGCCCTAAATCCACGAAATCCTCTCAGATATTCTGGAAAGAACTCCAAGCTCCCCCTGAAGCTGTTCCTGCCTCTCACATTCCATCACTGCCCATAATTTACAGTTCTAGGCAGGTCACCCATCCGGGCTAAGCCTGAGGAGGAAGAACTCCAGTTCCAGGCAGGTTTTGAGGCGGATTCCGTGTGGGAACTGCACTCCAAACACTTGTTAAACCGGAGAGAAGCCGCAGCAGCCCCAGAGCTGGGAAGCAGCAGTTTTTAATTGCCTCCCTCTCAATGTGCTGAGAGCAGCTCCCAGTCAATATAAACACTATAAATACTATAAATCCCAAGACACCACCCCTGGCAGACCCTTTTTGGGGCAGGACAGAAATACAGCAGCCAAAGTGCCACCACCCTTGGTTTCCATATCCCACTGCCACAGCTTAAATTCTCCTGAGCTTCAAACAAGCTCTGCTGGGCAGAAGTCAGTAAAATCAATAAAATCAAATGTGAGCAGCCACCAGGGCTGATGAGCACCTGTGTTTCTGCTGCTCCCTGTCTGATGTAGCATTCCCAAGGAAATCCAAAGGCAGGGTGTTCCCCAAGGGAGGGGTTGTCTGTTCTCCTGCTTGTGTGATGCTGAACATTGCCTACATTACACACGCAGGCATTTGTCAGTGTTACTTTTATTGACACCAATTAGGCCTTTATTACATTTTCTGAGATTCATTATGTGCAGTAATTAATATACCCTGGCTACCATTCACATCAGCATCTGTTTAACATTTGAGGAGGAAGTGAACTAAAAATACAAAGGGAAAGCACCAAGCAAAAAACAAATCCCACACCTAGGGAAAAAAACACAAAGCAGGCACAGAGGTACCTCCAAGACAAATGAGAATACTTAACTTGGCACAAAGAAAAGTCATTTTAAAATATTCTTTCACTAAGTTTGACTCCCATAAAATACGTGCAGAGTTTTTGCACTTTTAGCCATGTAGTTACTGAGCCCCAAATTAGATAATTATCTGAACTTCTATTAACATGTGCATATTTTGCTGCTTTTGAGGTAACTCTTGAGGAATTGTTCAATCTCTTCTTCTGGCTCCTATGACTGCAGTTCCTCATCTTCCCTTTTGATCCTGGCCTTCTATCCCATACATTTCCAGGGATGATGAAGTGCCTTTTAATATTCCCCATGAATCCAGCATGAAAAGCTTGCTGAAATTAAGACTATTCAAGAAAGCACTGACACTTTAATTGTGAGCAGATCTTTAAACTTGCTTAATTACCATTGGAGACTTGCACAAAACCAGAACCACTTGTCCTGTGCCTTCAAAAGAGTTCATTATGCACAAGTTCTCTCCAGAAGTCAAACACAGACATTAAAGAATGCCAATGTTTTCTTCATGGCAGAAGAAATTATTATGTAACAGTTTGTTTGCCTTTTTTTTTTTTTCCTTTGAATCTTAAGCCTTTGACTATCTTCTCTCACTGAGATTAAAATTCACATTTCACTGAAACATCCTGCCTAGGTTCAATGCCAGTTTGGGCTGATTTTCAGGAGCTGGCTCAGATTTCCCTGTGATAAAACCTCCTTCCCTTCCATGCCAAAAAGACATTTATTTTCCCTAACTCTTGGGTGCCCCAATCTCGCTTTGGGTTCATTGAGCTTCCACGAAGACGTGGGAAGAACATTTTCCTCATCAGTATCCAGGGACAGCAGTGAGAGGATGCTGAGCTGCTTCCCTGCAGGAATTTATTCCTTCCCCTCAGAAAGATGCTTTTCAGTTTCAAACAAAAATGGGTTTGTCAACTGGATGGATTTGGTAGTTCGATAAATGTGTTTTATCAGTGGAATGGATTGGGGTGTTTGCATTTTTGTCACCACCATCTCAATCTGTCCTGCCCATAAAACACATTCCATCAGTGCTGTGGGCCACCACGCTCACAGTGTGTGTTTTGTCAACAGCCTAAATCCATCCTGTCAACAAAATCCTCTCAGAAGGAAAATAACTCAATCTCTTCTGTCAACCTCACGAGGAAAATCTTGGTGTTTGGAGTATGAGAAACAAAACCAAACCCCACAGGCAATGTATTTTCAGGACTAAATAAGAAAACCACAAAATATCCATTAGTTTAACATAGGTAAATGATAACAGTGAGAAAATTAAATAACATATTCATATTTCCTGGTGGGAGTGGGATGTGATCCTGGAAATTTCTGAAGTTTCCACCACCCAGAACCGAATTGAACACCTGGATCCCAGAGATGCCAGATACTGAGTTTTATATTTCTTAAGAAAACTCAAAGGCTTAGTAGGCAAAACACAAAACTTCATAGAAGATGAAGACAGAGGAAGCTGGTTTCTCTTGCTGACAGGAACATCACAGCAGTAGAAACATAAAATCTATTGTGGCCTCCTGTAACTTAAAAATTAAAATGATTGATCAACTGTTCCACTCAGTCATGGTTATTCCCTCTCTGCCTTGGTTGGCTGCAGCTTCCTGCAGATCCTTTGTACAAGGTGGCCTTTCCTTCCCCCTTTTCCCTCTCCATAATATAAATTAATCTCCAAAATATATTAAAATAGCCTCAAACAAGATTGCAGAGGATTAGACTCAGTCGGATGCCTCTGAGTCCTTTATTCACCCCAAAGACCATGTCTCCTGGTCACTCTCACAGATGGTGTGCGACTATTAACAGAAGTTTTCAAGTCCTAAAACAATAAAGATTGGCTTTTATCATAAATTTTTTATAATAAAAGCCAGGCAGGGTTTGAAAGAAGACTTAGCATCTTCGTATGCCCACCCTGAGATACTGCAAGGTTTTCCTGAAGTATCAGCCACATGCTGCTTTGAAAAAGATGGATTTTTTTCAATAATCTCAGGCTGGGCATACAAAATCAAGCACCTTTTAAAAAGTTACATTCCCATTTTTTTCCTCTGAAATTTAGTGTAAACTCCTTGTGCTCCACCTGTTTGTGAAGGATGTACAGGAGTGCTTGAGGGATTTCCATAAAAGATTGAGTTTGGGCAGGATAGTTTGGTTCCTAGCTTTTTCATTTTGCTTAGTATGCAAACCATCTCCCAGACTCTTGATTTCTACTCACCTCGATCATTTAAAACATAATCTTAGCAGCCTCTTCCCTAGCTCTGTTTCCCCACACTTGGCAAAGGAGTAGAAACAGCAGCAGGGATTTATTTTTTCTGTTAACAGAAAATGCCTGGACCTTGCATTGTGACCCTTGGAAATGGGATGCAATACCCTCATCCATAACAGGACTAAGTTATTCAGGACAGAGATCATCTATTAATTACCTTTGCAGAAATTCCTATCTCTGCAGAAATGTTGTCTTCATCTGATCAAAATAAATGGTTTTTCTGCCTGCCAAATTCTCCTCTGGGTCACACAGGCACTGGCAGTTTTGCAGAGTGATTTCTACTGTCTCTCATTAAATTCTTCTCTATGTAGATTCTCTCCTCCTCCGTAACTTGTTAAATGGGATTTTGTTCTGATCAAACAGCTCCAGGAATACCAGAGCTGGCCTGGCCAGGAATTCAGAGCTTTACTAGGGGCAGTCAAGTGTGCCAGTCACACTGACAACATGAAATAAAAGCAAAAATCCAAAATCAAGGGTACTTCAAAGGACAGTGGTGATCCGTCACTGTGAAAATGCAGCATCAGGGACAAAGGAGAAACCCAGAAGGAGAAAAGTGCATGTGTGTATATTTATATACCTTCATCTGATATATATAATCTAACATACAACACCATTTCTAAAACCAAGTCGTTACAGGGGCACCGTGGAAAGAGCAATTCTTATGGCAGAGCAAAACCTTGCCATGCTTTGAGGGGCACTGAGGGAGGGCAGGGACAGTTAAGCATTGGACACTTTATTAATCAAACCAGGTGCTAATTGAAACCTTGATGAGCTGGATAATTCCAACAGCCCAAGTGACGCTTGTCCTCTGCCAGAACAATGGGATTGTGTCCTTCTCCCGTCCCCCACACTGATGGATCTCACCCCACTCGCTCCCAAACCAGTCAAACTTCATTTCTACATGCCGCGTTTCTAACAGGATTTGTGGCAGAGGGAGCTTTGAAATTCTGCTGAATTCTTCATCTCTTCCGTCCAGAGCAAGGAAACAAACCCATCATACTTGCCTAGCTAACTCACATTTTTTTCCCTGGCTGAGGACAACCCATATGCACTCTCTGCTTCTGGAGCTTTTGCACAACACTTTTTGGGCTTGGTACCTCTAAGGGACTCTGGGAATCAGGTGGTCAGCCCTGTGCTCATGGCCACGGCTTTATTTTATGAGGATTTGAGTCTCTTGAGGAAAGGGGAATTTTTATTTCCTGAGTGAGCAACAGGTTG